CAATCAGTTTCACACAGTCATGTCACCTAGGTGTTTAACGGAATTAGAGAAGTTCAATTTTAAAACAACCTCTTAAGGCAAGAACCCTGTACTCAGTTCAGCAAACAGATGGAAAACTTCCCAGCTGCAGCCAGATAAACATGGACACGTTTATATCCTGACTTCAGCTCTTGTCAGGATTAAGGTTATAAGGTTAAACCTACAGTCCTTGAGGTTTAATCACAGCAGCTCTCAAATTAATATATCAAACTAATCTACTCACTGGCATGGTCTTGTCTCCAAAGAAATAAATAGTCTTGTATCCATCCTTGGCAACAATTCCTAGGCAGTACCTTTTATCCCAGCCATCTGGGAACACATCGATGCTTATCTGCCCTCCTAGGAGAGAGAAGAAACAAGAGTTGTTTCATTTTAAGAATGTATTTCTGAAGGGAGGGAAGGTGAAAAAAAAGCTAAACTGGGTAAGATTTTAGGCAGAGGAAGCTCTGCAGAAGACACAGAAATGTTGTGAGACCCTGGAGTTAAGTCCTGCAAATACAGAAAGTGTTTTATAGGGTATCAGTTACTACAGCTGTCATTCAGAGATTATTTACCCATTCAACAAAGCCTGAGCATGTTCCCAAATACTCACTACTATCCAAATGAACCTTTTAAAAAGAAATACATTTAACATCTTTACTTTTAGAAAGAAAGGACGCAAATGTACACAGCCACTGATATATGTACAGCCATACAATCGTAGGCAGAAAACTTCCTAAGGCTTTCAGAGCAGAAAAGAGAAATCAGCCCTTTCAGCACACCTAACAGGACAACAACTGATCCAGTTCTGAGCCCTTGGCCTTCACCAAGACCTAAGAGCATGATTCCCAGCTGAAGCAGGTGTCCAAAAGGTTACAACATCAAGAACAGAGGAGAGCTGCACTACAGTTCACTTTTGCCTTAGTGCTTTGGCACTAATGCCAACAATACTTTGCAATTCTGAAAAGTAATAAAAGGCAGGAGTGTGGTAATATATTAGGAGAGAGGGTAAAAAAGAAAAAATGCATCAAAAATTAATTCCCCCTTATTTTTTTTTCCCTTAAGCTTGCACTTGCTTTTGGATTCTTTCCTTCCTCCCACACAATGCAGGTATAGTTGAAGAACCAAGGGCAACTGAAACAGCACTGAGGGAGTAGTTCTGATCAAAACTGATTCACAGAAACAAGTCTGACTAATCAGAAGCATCTAATATCCTCCAAAATGAGCAGAATCAGTCACACATCTGACATTAAAGGACAATGAATTGATGACAAGAAATGAAGTTCTCTTTCTTGATGGATTGCAATTAAAATTTCCCAATAAAAGCCTGAGAGGAAAAGGAGGCTCAGACTTGCCTGCAACCACCTCAGAGAGACCTGTCACACAAATGAGATGGGATGTCACAGCCATAGGAGAGTATGACTAAAATTAAAATAATGTAATTTAAAACATCAGTAATTTAAATTTCAAGTATTACCTATAGAAAATGTGAGGCCTTTCCCTGCAAATTCTCTTTGTAGATCAGCTACAAATTTCTCTCTTATATGCTCCTTCTGTTAAGAAAAAAATAGAACAAAACCAAACATCAGTTACATGCTGTGTTGACTTACCAATGAAAAGATAATCCAAAAACACCTCTAAAAAAGAATGGCTTTATTGACTTGAATGGTCCCAGGCTGGTTACACTACAGGGGACACCAAGAAAGTATGGTTTTACCTAGGACAGAGCTTTTTAGAAACCCCATGTAGAGTAGCAGGATGTTCAGAACCCTGGATACTGGATTAAACACTTGAGCCAAACCCACTCTTCTGCAAGTAATCTTTGCTACTCCAAAAAAACATTGTCTGTTTCCTGAGGTCTGAATGAGGAAGTTAGTTAAAACACACAGAAAGGATTAAACTGAAAAAAATTGCAAATTAAAGAAGTTTTTTAAAAATCATAACCTGGCCATAACTGCCTCCTCCAGAAGAGCTGGGTATTTTTCAAGAGTTGTAACTCACTTTATCAAGTTCATAGAACTCAAGTCGTTCTTCCTGGCTGCAGCTTCTTCCAATGGGGGACACATTTAACATCCCATTTCGGAACTCAATGAAAGTGCCTCTGCAAGGGAATTGATTGATAAGACAGAAAAATAGGAGAAAACTGCTTGCAACACCAAATATCACAATAAATTTCCATTTAATTCTAAAGGGAATCAGCTGTCTCATTGTATGCATAAACCCCCAACATGCAGATATCTCTGGCACCAGTAAGTCTTTTGGACTTTGAATCCGGCAACCTCAACATCATCCTCACTGGCTTTTAAAAGTATGATTTAGTTTAACAAGTGTGACTGGAGCATCCCATCAACCTCAGAGCCTGACAGGCCAGGCTGTCAGTTTTGGGGTGAAGCTGCAAAATTCCCAGCAATGTGGGCAGTGTCTTGCCCTGCCTCACACCACACATTTCAGTGTCTGGAGCAGCTGCACATCACACAGGTCTGGCTGCACTTCTCACCTCTGGAAAACACTATGCTGCTGAATTCCAAACATGGCAAGGGAACACTCCTACTTCAACACTGAATCTCCTTCCCTCTGACACAAAAGTGCTGAATCAGTATTTCAAACCCTGTGCTCCAGCTGGGAACTTGTCTTTTATGCATGGATGGAGCTCTGTTTCACACACAGTGCTGTTCCCTAAGCAGAAATTACTCTTTTTTTTTGCAGAGCACCCTCATCTGAGCTTTATATCCCCCATGGAGAACATGACCACACTGAGATGTCTGTGTGCACATACCTCTTCTTTGGAAGTTTAATCTTTGCAATGTAACTCAGGCAGTAGTTGATGACATCTTGAAGGATGTCCTCGCCCAGGTGGCCCTGAATGCTCTAACAAAACAAACACCCTTCAACCAAGGGTCCAGAATTTGAGATTCTAAAAGCAAGTCACATGGAAAACACAGACATTGGATAATCAGGCATGGTTAATACCACAGAGAAACAAACACGCCTTCAACCAGTAACATCAGCTGATGCTCACATGGTATTAACAAAAGGCTCTCATTTTTCTTTTTGTTCATTTTGTAACACCAAACTATCCTTTAATATGATTCCTACTTGTACCTGCTTCAGAAGGAAACTGTTCCACAGGCAGCAGCCCTAAACAAAAAGCTGCATTTGGTTATAGCCAAGCATGAAGAAATGGAGCTTGTTCCTGCAGTAAACTGGAACCACTGGTCAAGGCAGCAAATTCAGCCAGGATCTCTTAAATGTTTACTCTCCATTACTTATGTTAAACATTACATGCCAAATGAATGATCCATTAACAGGACTAGCAGCAGTAATTTTGGTCTTTGGAAGGGTGATTACAGAGGACTACAAATAAATCAAAATACTGTTTAGAAAATATCTTTTCCCCGCTATTGGAAATTTCACACTTACCTGCTTGCTCAAGAATTTCCCATCTTTGTATGCTACCAGGCCATTTTCTGGGAACACGTAGTCATATTTTTCAATCACTGCAAACAAGCAAAAAGACAGTAACTCATCATTTCCCCTATTTGCTTAATGCAGAATTGTCTTCAATGTGAAATAGATTAAAATACAGCAAACACTAGCTCTGAAAGCATGAAAGTTTCATGCTTTCATCATAGTGCCAAGCACAATATTAATGGGCTAGTCCCATTTCTCACTAAGATTAATGCACACCTCAAATCACACGAAGTCATTTGTTTGACATAGCTGTGGTTTTACTTAGAGGCATGTGACTCTTTGCTTAAGTGTAAGGAAATGATCAAACACCTCAAATACAACAAATCCCTGGTACACGACCTGGCTAGAGAGCAAGTCAAATACTGCCCTTTTAGGCTGGTTTGTTCAATGTCACTAATCTTCAGCAGATGTCTGGGAGTTGTGAGTCTCAGCACAACACAAGATGATATGGAGACGATTACTGGAGACCACTTGGAAGGCAAACAAACTGAACTGTCTGGGTACCACAGGAGGCTATCAGTGGCATCAATTAAGCAAAGACCATTAATAAAGGTCTAAGGCAAGAGTCCATCAGTGCATCATAACCCCACAGTGAACTAAATCGGGTCCTCGAGGGATGTGCTGGCCAGCTGAGCAGCTCCACGTGTATGTCACACACACGACTCCACTGCACACAGCAGTGTGAAAAAGCCCTCCCAAGGCTCTGTCACCGAGGCAAGATTTCACCATTAGTAACAATCTCTTAATTTGATATCGAGATACCAAATGCCAGTTAGTAGCTCTCCACAGCCGGAGTGCACCGCAACACGACCAGGAAGACAATTACAGGCACGAAAGGGAAGAGGGGGATGAAGAGGGATCAACCCTCAACCTTCACTGAAGCTTCCCCGCGGGCCCCGGAGCGCGGATTGCATCAGCCCGGCCCTTACCGTCCTCGCCCAGCTGCTCGCGGATCTTAGCGAAGTCCGAGCCGCCCACCACTCCCACCTTCACCTTCTGCCGCAGCCGCTGCAGGAACGCCGCCATCTCCGCCGAGATTTTCTGGGGTCCAAAACAGAGCTGTCAGATTTGCCTCCGTGCCGCAACAACCAGCACAAACCCGCAGCACCGTGCGGGTCTTTAAGCAGCGTTAAGTGCGCTAGGTGTGCCCACAGAGCCCGCGGCATGCGGCACACGCCGGGCCCCGCGGGCGGGAAGCGCTGTGCGATCCGGCCCGCTCCCCGCGGGCTCGCAGCCCCGTCCCGCACTCGCCTGGCGCGGGGCCGTCAGGGTGCCGTCCACGTCGAACAGGCAGAGCGCTGAGGGCGGCGGCGCCATGGCTGGGGCTGTGGAGCTGACAGGGCTGTGGGGCTGGCAGAGCCGTGGAGCCGCGGGGCTGGCAGGGCTGCGGGGCTGGCAGAGCCGTGGAGCCGCGGGGCTGGAAGGGCTGCGGGGCTGGCAGAGCCGTGGAGCTGCGGTGCCGGCTCCCCCAGGCCGGCTCTCCCGGCGGGCCGCGCGCGGGGCGGGCCGGGCGCAGCCGCGCTGAGGCGGCGAGGCCATGGCGGCGGTGAGCACCGGGGTTGCCGGGCGGGCTATTCTCCATTCCCCTCCTTCTCCCCTTTCCCTATCTCCTTCTCCCCTTTCCCCATCTCCTTCTCCCCTTTCCCCGTCTCCTTCTTCCCTTTCCCCGTCTCCTCCCTTTATCCATCCCTATCCCCATCCCGTCGCGGGCCGCTCCGTGGCGGGTCCTTGCAGCATGGCGGGGCAGCGCGGAGTTTCCCTTCCTGCCTTTTCCCTTCAGCTCTGCGCGTTCCCAGCGTCTTCTGCCGCCTTCGGCCTAGCGCTCTCCTCCTCTTTACCGTGCTTTGTCCACTTTTCTTTTCTGTTTTCCTAAAATTGTTGTTCAAATGTTATTCGGCTAATCGCCAGGTAGAAGCAGCTCTGGCTGGGATATTGCTCAGACAGCGAGAGGCAGGGGTTGTGTAAGGGTCGGTCACTGAGCTCACTGATATCATTTGTGTTGGCAAAGTTTTCCCTCTCGGTCTGCACGGAGAGATGCGAACACAAACACCAGCTTCCCATCAGAACACTGGTTTAAGGTTACAGTGAGCTGGAGCTTGTGCTTTAGTGTTTGTAGGTGCCCGAGGGACCAACTCTGAGTCACTGATTGGGTTTTGAAGAGGACTCAAATAATAATTTGTGGGAGTCTTACCTTACAGGCTTGGCTCTGCACAGTTAGAACTAAAGTCTGCACAGCATCAGCTTTTGGGAGATGTCTACAGAAGGAGCTCTGGACAAGGTCATGGAGAAGGGAAGATGCTGGCCTGCCCTGGACTTTTGGTTCGTGGGAGTGTTTGCAGTCACAAACCCAGCGAGCTCATGGTGTCAGTAATCGTCTCAGGAGACCACAAATGCCGTCTGTGTGTCTGTCCCACTCGGCCTCTGCTGCTGTGGTCCAACAGAAGGCTGTGGATGGGAGCACAGAAGAGTTCAAGCTGGTCTACAGGTTCCCAGGGATAAAATATTGCAGAGTCCTGTCGAGACTGAAGCTGTTGCAGACTGCCACCTCCATGATCATTCTGCCTCCTATCTTCTACCTCTACCTGCAGGACCAGGTGTCTCAGAATTTCCTCTTCTATACAACTGGCATCGCTGTCTTTGCTGGGGCAATGTTGTATGGTATGAGCTACTTTTTCAGAAGAATTATTGGATTAATCTACTTAAGTGAAACGGGACAAACTGTCAGAGTGGCCCACTTGACATTTTGGGGAAGACGTAATGATATTTACTGCCCCATAGAGACAGTGGTGACTTTGGATGAAGTTGGAGATAGCAAGGATGAGCTACTTCACCAGTTCAAACGGTATAACAGTACAGATACTTTGTATTTTACAATTAAGTATGGCCAGATTGTAGACAGACAGAAATTTACTCAAATATTTGGAGACCTTGTGTGACACAGCAGCTCATTTCCAATGATCTTCCATGTTGCGTGTTCAGTGTCCTTATTGTTCCATGAGGTTTAAGTCGTTTACCAAACTACACATCTCTGTCCTTTTCCTGTGCAAAGCCTGCTGTAAGTGCACCCAGTATAGAAAGTCGGTGGTAAAGCACAGCCCACTGGATTAAAGGTCTTGCAGCTTGTGTATGGTGTGAGGAGTGTCTGTCCCATGTTGGATTCAGTAATGTCACAGCATTCCAGGCCTGAACTGTCCTTGGAATGTGCCGTAGGACACCAAATTACTGGGGGTGACCCTGGCTTTTTGTTTCAGTTGGCCTCTTTGGTTGTTATGAAACATGAAAAAGCTCTTGAAATGAAATGCAAGAGCTGCCAGAGCATCCTCACTTCAAACTCAGTGTTTCTTTTAGCTAATTTCAGGTTGGCTACGAAGCCTCTGGAAATAAAAGCTGGTCTGGTACATCTATATGATGGATGTCAGAGAGGGACATGCTCACGTGTTAATGCAGTTGAGGGAACTGGGAAGGTGTGTGGGCTGTCCTGGCCCCAGGAGGGAGGGCTCTCCGGGATGGGAGTAGAACTGGGCAAAACAGCAAGAGACGCTGGCAGCTCAGCTGCTGCGTTAAAGGCTGGGACAATAGCTCAGGAGCCTCTTACAGAAATTGCCATTCTTCACTGGAACAGGAAAAGCAGCACCTGTCTCCATGTAGGGTTGTGGTCTTATTCCATGGTACTGGTACGATTTCTCCTCTTCCAAAACCTCAGTAGAAATGAGGAATTTAAACCCAAGAAAGAAGCAAACCTATCACCTATAACACGTAACACATTTTTGAACTATCAGAAGCAAGATAATTCCTTACACCCCTCTTCTAACTTCCTTTGAAACTGGCAAATAAACTGACTCACCAATGATCTGGAGTGTTCTTTCCTTATTTCTTCCTCATGTGAAGTGAAACCTCTGTTTCTTGGTAGCAAGGCAGCAAAGGCAGTTAAGTAAAATTGCCATTTAAGTGCACAGGATAATCCTGAATTACTATTTCTCATGTTGAACTTTTCCTAATGGGTTTCTATGAGTTTAAGTTTTGGTTGACACTGTGTACATGGCAATATCAAAAGAAATCCAAATATTCCTTGGCATAAATACCATGGCAGCAAAATACAGTGTACAGGTACATGGTGATTTTGGAGGTTTATGAGAATGTATTTAACATGCACTAATGGTTCAGTTTAGGCATGTACTGGGTGTAAAATGAAAAGCCCTGGAGAAGTTCAATTATAAATATTTTATTTAAGAATATTGATTACACATGATTGATGTCATTTGTTATGAATCTGTGTACAGTTACTAGTTACACCATGAAGTGTACTTAAGTATTTGTTTAAACATTTATTTGGCACTGTCCACAGTATGCTGTAAACAATATTAACTTTATATGCTTCAGCTGCAGTGCTTTCTATGTATTCTCTAACGATTTCATCAACATGTTGTACACAATTATACAGTTAACTGAGTGTCAGTAAAAATTATAAAAACATCTAGAGTAGTCATAATAAAAGTGAAGATGTGGTAAGACTTCAAATTACTGGACCTTTGCTTCTGTAAAAGTACAAGACTTGCTAGAGACATTCACTAAAACTATTGCACTGATATGTTAACAATCTAATTCCCAAAATGCTGTCAAATCCAGTTCTTGGTTTGACTTTCCTTTTGCTGATAATACACTTACAAGGACAGCGATGACAATGAAGTTTTGTTGAACACCAATTTTTACCGGTCCTTCCCCAGATTTCTACAGCCTCTGTTCAAAAACCTGCTCAGGTTCTGCCCAGCTGGCACCAGAATTCTGCTTTCTGCAGAGGTTTACAGAAATCCCACTGGGTTTAAGCTGGCAGAAGTGACTGTGCTTGAGTTTCCCAATACCAGTACTTGAAAATGGGAAAACCATGATTAACACTTCTCAAAGCAGGTAAGGAACCTTTTCACATTTTGGTAGCTGTATTAAACTTGTAAATCTTTTAACTTCTCTGTCTCTTATTATGTACTTAAAAATTGTGGTCAGGTCCTGAAAGGGCAACTGTAAAAGTCCATTGTGGTCCCTGTTACTTGGTGCACAACGAAAAGCTAAACTTAGTAAACAAAATCCAGATGCTCACCAAGAAAAAGAAAAAGAAAGGCACCAGATCTAGTTCAAGTCAGCCTTCAGCAAACAGTAAAAAGACATCCAAAACAATTCTCTGAAGAGAAACAAATTAATGAACTGTTGACACTTTTCTTGATCCTGTGGCTTTCTAGAAGATCTCTGAAGTATGGATCACTTAGAATATACTATTAGAACAAAAATATAATTACTTTGCATTATAAATGTGCAGTTAGGACTAGGCCTTCACTGTAGTGGCTCTGATACCAGATTATGGCATTTCTGCTTTAGTTTTACAAAATACCTCAAATATTTGTGTAGAAGTTAAAATAGATAAATTAATGGCTATTGTGTGTTCTGGGCAAATGGTAAAATAATTTGGAATCATTCTAGACTGCTGGCAGAAATGGAAGAATGTGCTTTGCATGGTTCTCTAAGCTTTGTCAAATTATATACTTCAGGGTAGAGTTTTCTCTGTACAAGTCTGCTTGTAAGAGAAGTCAAAAGTTTTAAAACCCATCCATGATGAGGACAAGAGGACAAGGGCTTCAGTGCCACTTGCAGTGCTGTAGGTGTGGCTGAGGGCATCAGTGCCCTGTGAAGCAGTGAGTGCAGGCTGGGCAGAGCTGACGGTGCCCCGATGCAGTTGGTGTGGCAGATGCCTGTACTCGAGGGAATAAAGCTAGAAATTATTCTGTGAAACACTGTGCTTGGCAGTGGTGGAAAGCAGAGCTTTCCCTGAAACACTGATTTTATTCCAGCTGCCGTTAGAGAATGGCACTCTGTGTGGCAGGCATGTGGCTCTGAGCGTTTGGCCACACTTGTTGCTGCTTCTGGATGCTAATCTGCCAGGGTCACCTGTGGAAACTGACTGTACCAGGTCCAGAGTCAGGGACGTGGCTGTAGGGAGGACTCTGCAGTTAACATGGCCCAGGCCACAAGAGGGAGGTTCTAGGGAATGCACCAGGCCACATTTTCTAGGGAATGCACAGTGAGACAGCTGCATGTACCTGCTGGTGACCAGTGCCAATGCTCTGCCTGGGCCGCATGTGCATGGAGCAGCTTGCCTTGGGCAGGATTACAGACAGAACACAAACCTCAGTTTATGACTTTACACTTAGCTTGTAAGTAGAGAGGACATGAATTAATGCAAACTAATTTCATAATCAGCTGTTCAGTGCAAGGGAACTGCTTTTTACTTGAAGTTTGCTAAGATGTCACTGAAAATGTTCAGGAAGAGGTGTGCGTGGTGATCCTTGAAGATCAGCGTTGGACGAAAACGGATGGATCTGTCCCCACAGCCTCCCAGAACAACACCTGAAATGAGAACAGAATAGGTCCTCTAGTCATTTCCATCTTTGCCAAATATCCAGAAAAATCCAGGTCTCTGGATGAAGATGCCCTCACTGTGGAAGGCCAACAGAAGCTCCCCAAATCCTGCTAGCCACACCATGATACAGCACATTGCAGTGTGAATGGCCTCAAGCTTCACAGCAGCTTAGAAGAACACGATGGGTGTTGGAGCTGTTCTATAAAACACTTGGAATATTGGGACTAATCCTGACAGCAATGGAAAGAATCCATCCAGCACAGAGCTTAAACAGCATCTGAGATTTCAAAGCTGCAGTACTCTCCTGATCAAGTATCTTGGTGCCACAATAAGACCCAGGAGGTTTCTTTGCATTGTTTTTTTAAACGAATTCATTTTTAATGACAAGAAGTTAAAATGTCTCAGTGCCTGCAAACCTCTCTCTGCAGTGCTTTAGGTGCACTTTTTAGCCCAAAATAAATTCTTGGAAATGTTTGAGCAATGAGAACCCATATTACTACGATGAGCTTACCCTGCTTCAAAGCAGAGCCTTAGTTTACCATGAAACAAACCACTTGCCTTCTCTCCCTGCTGGCTTAGTTTCCAAGAACAAGAAATAGTGTCTTTTACACTCCAAAATTTTGGCTTCACCACAGTTTAGAAGCACCCTGCCTTCTTTCAAGAGATTGGAGTAACAGCAAAAACACACAGCAGCAAACATGGGGCCCACACAGTTAAATTCAAAGAGAATGTTAGGTGTGGATCCCAAAGTTCCCCTCTTGATACCTGGGCCTGTCTGCAGCTGGTGGCAGTTCTGTGGGAAAAGAGGGCTGTCACTGTAGATCTGTGCCCATTTTAGGCACGTGCATTTTATCATTAGGTATTCCTAGGTATAGGAATTATGTATTTATAAAATTCATCATTCTTTTCCCTCTGTTTTCCTGAGCTACATTAACTATCTTCTAACTTTCCTGTTTCTAGAAGTAAGCATGTCTCTATGGGCAACTAAAGTCACTGCAGAGGACTCTGAACCTGATGTTACAAAAACTCATGTCCTACACAAATCTTTTCCAGTAACCTCAGACCTGCAGAGACTGGTAAATGTACACAACATGCAACAGACTGCTCTGAGGTCTCTTACAGTAAGTATTTCCAGAAAAGTCTAAATCCAGCTTTGTCATTTCACTGCTGTCCTCTGATACTGAAATACTCATACACAATATGAAAAGGAAAATGTGAAGCATTACCTCCACATATGAACGCTACTGTTTGTCACGTGAAGCTCATCCACACACACCATTTCTTACCTTTGTTTCTGGCTATTGTAATTAACTTGTTTCTAGTTGCATCATTTGGAGTGTCAAACGAACAGAATGTTCCTCTTCCTCTCACTCTGCTGATGAGATGGGGGTAACGAGCCTGCAGAGAGAGGAGAGACAAGCACATGGCAGCTGCTGCAACAGAGGACACCTGGTGGCAGGCCTGGCTCTGCCAGGTGGAAACCCTGCTGCCTCTTTGCTCCACTGGAGTGGAGCGTGGCACACATGGCCTCATGTCCTGCTCAGCCTGCAGAGCCCAACACAAAGCAGGGAGAGAGAATGAATCTGACCCATGAGCTGGGTCAAGTAAAATATTCTTTGGAACGAGCATAATGCACCTTATTTACATCTACAGTGGACTCCAGAAAAACCTGAGCATAAACCATCTGCACTGGGGCTAGAAACCAGCTTCTTCTTACCCTGCACTGACATACTTGCCATTAGCATCTGCATCACTTAATCACTATCCTCATCTTTTGGAAGAACAATCTTTTGGATAGGACTAGTTGTATTCTGGCCCTCCAAAGTATGAGATTATAGTATTTTCTGTTCTCCTGCCTGCTATGTCTTAAAGGTGTGGAGAGAGCAGAGACTGTTTTTGGGATTAGTCTATGCAAAATGCCTTTGGGAGGTGAGCACCTGCAAGTCTATCCTTAAATGCCTGTCTGTAGAGTTCCACAGTAGAAGCTGTAAGGCATTTCCCTTAAACAAGGTATGGAAAGATAAAATTCTCTTATTTTAACAGCCCAGCAGAATTGGAAAGAATATGAAAGCACCTTCCTTTAAAAAAAACTTTAGGACAAGGAAATACCAGCTGCTTATGGTAACAAAACCTTCTAGCAAAATAATTTAATTAGCTGCAGTACATACCTTCAGATATTTTGGGGATCACCCATTATATTGGATTAAGCTACATAAACCCAGCATTTTCAAGTCAATAAAACAAAGTTTACTTCAATTCCAAATGGGACACATTTATTCAGGCCTGTGTTGAAGTTAATATAATGGTCTAGACCCCAGCTGGAGTTCCTCAGTCCAAGTGTTTAAACTGGATGAGGTCAGATCCTACTTCAGCAGCAAATTTCTCCTTATCTACAAAATCCTTCCAGATGTTTACCTGCAAATCCAGCAGCCCAGTCAGCAGTG